GGGGGGGGCAGTGACTAGTCGAGTAGTCACCTACACTGACGCTTATTGGGTAGTAGACTAGTTGGTTACATCCCTAGTCAGCTTTGCTGGCAGCTTATGCCTTCCGTTATATCTGCACAAACCTCAGTAGCCTTTAACGGGACTCCATGCATGTAGGTAGAGGCATAATTTATTATGCAGAATATCTGTTGGTAATGGTGATGCACAAGAATGAAGGAAACCTAACTTGTGGGACTGATAGTTGGGAAAAATTATAAAAATCCTTAATGTATATGGAAATTGATTGCCACTTTCAGACACTTTTCAGAGTAGAACCCCACTTGAAAACAATTCTCTACTACTAAGTTCTCATTAAACCATGGTATTACATCTTGATAATGTTAAGTTCATATAAAATCAGGGTATAGCTATTTTGCATTGTTTTTAATTGCAGAACTAGATAGTACAGATGGTGCAAAGGTTTTCAGTAAACAACCAGGAAGAATCCAAAGAGTAGCAAGAGGCTCAGGTGTTTCTACTAGAGATGTTCAGGAGCTTTTGACGCAGTACACAAAGTTTGCACAGATGGTGAAAAAGATGGGAGGTATCAAGGGACTTTTCAAAGGTAAGAAGTAAAACATCCATCTACTTGGTAACTGTACAACTATAGGAAAGGTATTTTGGTGGAAGTCATTAAGGGCACAGCTACACAGCATGGTTAAAGTCGAATTAAGCTGTGCAACTTGAGCTAAGTCAATTGTGTAGTGGATGTAGAAATAGCTTAATTTGGCTTTTGGCGCTGTCTACGCAGCAGGAAGTCAAAGGAAGACCACTCTTCCTTCAACTTCCCTTACTCCTTGTAAAATGAGGGTTACAGGAGTCAGAGTAAGAAGTCCTCCAGCTTACCATTATTTTGAAATACAGTAATGGCTTGCAGCTCTTCATAATTTCAGAATAGTGATAGTTATTCCGAAATAACACTGTTGTGTAGATATAGTTTTAGTGAGAATAGGGCAGAGATGAGGTGGTTTAAAATTTAGTTTGAGGGCTGAAGAAGGAAAGAGGCAGAAGAATGATGGTGGGTTATAGCTCCTTCTATTACTTTATGGACAATTGAGATGTATTGAGCCTAGAGTTGAAATTGGTATTTCTGATCTGAAGTTAATAAATAAAGGTAAAGTACTGATGGTGTTTGTTCAGTGAAACTCTGATCTGAAGTTAATAAAGGTAAAGTACTGATGGTGTTTGTTCAGTGAAAGTGGACAAGATTGAGAAATCAGATAAGTGGAGACCGAAGGGTAACCTCATTAATAAGGAAAATATCAACATTTTTAGTATAATATATAGTATAGAGATTATAGTATTTACTATAATTTTTACTATAATGATCAGAAACATAATTCATATCATCAGTCTCCTGAGTAATGCTTGTTTTGTCACTTGCTGTATTTAAGGAGGTGACATGTCAAAGAATGTAAATCCATCTCAAATGGCAAAACTGAACCACCAGATGGCAAAGATGATGGATCCGAGAGTTCTTCATCACATGGGTAACTTACATTTATACAATATAAATTAGGGGATTTGACTTGGGAGCATTTGACAGAAGAGAGCATAATTCAGGGTTACAATATGTGCATGTGTTGAAGATTTTTTAATATTTTAATTAGAACCTG